CACACAGACATGTCCAACTCCGTGGCAGGAGGATGGTTTTCCCCACTGTCCATCGTACCTTCAGCACATACTTCTTTCCCTCATAGATGAGCTCCACGTCCACAGTGTTCAGCAGGGTATGAGCAGGCAAGACTTGGCCCCTGGGAAGAGAAGTACAAAACAAAACTGATCTTCCACAAGCCACCAAATGGCTACCAGGGGTCCAAATGGGTTCAAAGATGCATCCAAGGAATTGGGAAACAGCAGCAGAGAAATGGGAGAAGGTTTTTATAGAGTCTCTTCTTAGGAGAGACATTTATCAGTTTGACAACGTGAGCCCATCTCCCCCCAGCTACACAGGTTGGCTTTGCTCTCTTTTCCATTCACCCAGGGGTGATTCAAGATTCCCTAATGCTGCCCTAGCAGCACACAGAGAAAGAACTCCATGTTTCTGAGCCATTTCCTGGAGCTTCTGCCAAAACTGCCAGAAACCAAACCCATCTGTGCAAACAGCAGGGGATATTTTGGGGAAATGCACAGATACCTGCCAGCTTTCTCAGGCCAGCGGAAAAACAGCTTCTTGGGGCAGTGAACAGTCAGCAAATAACAAGCCCTGAGTATTTCTGGACTGGATTGAACAAAACTTGTAAGTCAGAACTAATTACTAGAGAGCACTTGTGCTTTTACCTTTCCAGGGAGTGCAGGAAGTTGGAGACGCTGTTCCGTAAGCTCACGTCAGCCACGTGCAGAGCCCCACACACCACTCCCAGCATGGTGTCAGGCCTCTCAGCCTGCAAAGAGGGGGCACAGGGCACAGTCACACCTCCTTCAGCTTCAGCCCAGTCTGGAGACCGGACAAGAATCACCAGTCTCAGCTTTATTTTTGATTCATGGCCACCGTCTCTTTAAAGTTTAGTTGCTGTAGTAGCCACATAAACTCTGCATAGAAGCAATTACACCTGTAATTCCTTAAAACTACATCTTTTTCTTCCTGGATCAAATCTTGAGACTCCAAAACACTTGTCTTAATTCCCACATGCACTAAAGATGCTTTTCTGGCCAACTTTAAGACCAACTTTCCCCAGCAGGCACGACCCGGGGTTTTGATATACATAAGAATTAAGGCCAGTGAAAATTCATTAAATGGACATTAACCACTCCTAAATCCTCGTGCTTTTGCATCAGCACACAGCAAGCCCTTCCCCTCCTCTTTCCCATCTGTATTCCTGCAAGGAAAGCAGCTGGACCTGCACTTTCTCAGCGATCAGCCGGTCCAGCCAGCCCGTGTCGATGCGGTTCTGCTGGAAGCTCTCCGTTTCCAGCAGCTTGATCAGGTACTCCACAGTGGTTCGGAAGTCCCCTCGGATGGACAGCTCCTTCAAAGCCACCACCATGTTTCTGAAAGGGAAAAGAATCCCTCTTATCTATCCCATGCTAACGGTGACGTGCAAGCTGGCAGCTCCAGACAGCTCCCTGTGAGCTGCTGGGAAAAGCAGCCTGAAGGGAAGAGCAGAAGAGCACGTGCACTGGAGCAAGGCCCTGGATGGCATGTTTGGGAATGAGAGAATATTGATTTTCTTGAATCTGCTGCTGGTGTGAAGAAGAGCAGCTCAGTGGGATCAGGAGTTCCCCCTGCTATCACCATCTAGGCACCCCCCACGTGTCAGAGGTGTACAACACACTTGGTCTCCATCTCACCCAGAAGGATTAAAAACACGGAAGACAAGTCTGACAACCCTGTCCTAGGACCAGATGCTTTAATATTCCACACCACAAGGGCACTCAATGGTTTACAAACCATCCTAGGGCATCGGCATAACAAGTCAGCAATGTTTTTCCTGTTAGAAGCCTTCACCTGAACACTTCAAAGAGGTTCTTCCAGCAGCAGGGATGCAAGGCAGCGATGAAACAGGCAGGAAAAGAGGAAAGAAAATTAAGCAAAAAGTGTAGAAATGTAAGTGTAATGTAGTGGAATTGCAAAGCAAGAGGGATGAGAAGCCTGACCATGATGTGGAAAACAAGGTATAGAGAGGGAAACTTCTCTTAAAACTCCTAGAAGTAAGAAGCCTTGTTTTTCCATGGCAGTTTGGATCAAAGAGGACAAAACTAAGCAATTTCCAAGGCTCTACCACATTTCTGACTACTCACGAAATGGCTTCTTCACGATTTTCTCCCCAGGAGAAGCAGTGACCAAACTGAGAATCAGCAAACTCATGGAGCCCTCCTGCAGCAGCAACACTGAAATAGCCCCAGACGTTCTTATTGCTGCGGAAATTCAGCTCCTGAACTGTTCCAGAACTGGGCTTAAATCCCTGTAAAGACAGACAGACATTGCTCTACATCCTAAGGAAAAAGTAAATAATCCAGAATTAGGGAAGCAATTAGAGTTCTGAAGGCTCTTAGAACACCTCTTAGTGCTGCAACCTGATATACACATAAATAAGTTCTGGCTGTGTCTAACCAGAGCCCAGAGAACCATCAGCCAAGTGAGGTAAGGGAAGAACCTTTTGAATTTGCTGCCAAAATTTTCAGGAACAGCAGCAGGGATTGACCCAAGGTGTGAAGTCTGTGGTGAGCAGTAACTACAGAATTTAAGCCCTCACCTCATCAGGATTCTCACTGGTGATCCGTGCAGCAATGACATGGCCACGGGGACTGGGGACGTGGGCTGAATTCTCAAAATCAATAGTTGTGTCTCCCCATGGAGAAACACCATACATCACCCGGATATCCTTGATCCTGTGGAGGGGGACCCCCATGGCAATCTAAGGAGAAAAAGAAATATTAAAAGAAACCACCGCTAAGTTTCTCTCCTCACAGACCTGAACATTCCCATTTCCCAGGACAGCTGAGCTCAGTGTAATATCCACCTTAAGCCCTTCAGTCAGTATTTTCCATTGACTGATTAAAAGGCTCCAGGGAAAGCAGACAGTGCTAGGTCAGCTGAGGATGGGCATTAGGCCTGTTAAAAATACACTGTGGTCCCAGTGAGACAGGAGGGCCCTAAGTGGTTATAGGAAACCGTGGAATTTTGCAACTACAAACTGTGGAGAGAGTAACCTGCAGAACCAGCTGCTGGCTGCATCTTATGGAGTAAAGTCCCACTCATTCTGTTCATTAGTTGGAGGCTTTTTATAGATAGAGTTCAAAAATGAAGTAGAAAAGCACCTAGAGCCCTAATATGGTGTGAGGGGACTGTGGCATTCCCTCACTGCTGGAAAAGCTTGGGGCTGGGAAGGAGCTTGGCAGCACACAGGAGTTCGGGGGGACACACATGGGACAGACAACAACTGCTTTCTGCAGGACCTGTGGGGGATCCCCTCGTGACTTTGGGAAACTTCAAACAACTGCTGAGCTTGCTGAAAGATGAAAAAAATCCAGTTGTCTGTTCTGTTTTCCCTCCTTTTGTCACTAGGAACTCTGGGCAGAGGCTGCTGTCCCTCGGGGGCGGAGTGGGTGACGCTCTGCCCAGAACTGGCACTGCAGCCTCAGAAGCCAACTCATTCACAAAGGAATTTCAGAGCCTATAGTTGAACTATTCAAGGCCAAAGCTTGTCAAGACAGGCTTTTTTCCCCACAACCTTTCCTTAAATCAGTTTTCCCACCTCGGTGTTTTATTCTTCTCTTGCTTCCCTTCACACTTCTTTTACCTTAAGGCCGACCAGGAGAAACAACTAGAAGGTAACCTGCCTTTGCTTTCCAACAGCAGGGATGCATAAATATTTTTGGGATACTGAATGAAGCTTTGCTCCAGCTGAGAAAGTACCAAAATGGGCCTTGGACTTATTGGGGATTTTTGTTGAAGAGGAAATGTGTGGGAGTCCTGTATCACCTACCTGCACATGGGATATAGGTCATAGATTGTAGAGCTCTCTAATGTGTCCTTTCTGTTCTCTCCTCTATCAGCACCAAGATCTAGAGAACTGTACCATGTCAGTGTGTGATCCAGCTCTAACCCAGCACCCAGTTGGGCTCAGACGAGAGCCCTCCCCCCTTGTTTCACTCAGCCTTCAGCAGAACAGGTTTTTCATGCTCAGGCCTCTTCCAGGTACCACTGATCAAACACTTCTGAAAGCCTCCAAGAGCACAGGGCCCTGCCCCTGGCTCACCTGGAGCACAGGACCCAGCCCGTGGCTCACCTGGAGCATAGGACCCTGCCCCTGGCTCACCTGGAGCACAGGACCCAGCCCGTGGCTCACCTGGAGCACAGGACCTGCCCCTGGCTCACCTGGAGCACAGGACCCAGCCCGTGGCTCACCTGGAGCACAGGACCCTGTCCCTGGCTCACCTGGAGCACAGGACCCTGTCCCTGGCTCACCTGGAGCA